GAGTTCGCTGCGGCTCTTTCCTCTGTTCTAAACGACTCTGATGTCTTTAAAACCACAAGTAGAAGCGCTTAAAGCATTTCTTCTAAAATAAAATAAAAGATGTTTTCGCCATTGCCAGACGCTATTTTTTTTTACTACAACTAGAAATCTACCGCGTCGTGCGGTACAGTCGGGATTTCCGTCTTTTTTCTGATTGGTCATTTTTGAGCTGCTTAGTCCCGCCCCTCAAGTGCCTCTCTGCCTGTGAGTTACCGGACTCTTTCTCTGTGCAGAAATAAACAGAGGATGAGTCCGGCAGGCCAGGCTACAAGTCTGCTCCACACACAGGAAGTATGGCAAGCCGTTGTAGCATATAATTCACAAACGTTTCTATCTTTGAACACAATTTAAACTGGATTATTGCCAACCCTTACATAATAGGCATGCCACCATTACATTTTTGGCAGCAGAAATGAAATGTTATTACCATTTCCAATACAAATGCATGTTAATGAAATGCATTATATGTTACTGGATATATTTATGTGTCATGTTGACTAAGATGAGTGTTATTAATACAAACCTAAAATGTTACTGAAATGTGGGTCAAATATTAAAAAATATTTTAACCATAAATATCAGATGGGAAAAAGGGAACTAAACACCAATCTAATGCATATTATTGAGCCTTTTATAATAAGAGTCTGTTATTTCAGCCTGATAATTTTGTTGTTTTATTTCATATTTTTTAGCAGCAAACCAGTTTTGTTTCACTTGAAATGTTGCCAAATGGAATATTCAATTAATCAACAGAAGCTTAGATTAGAACACTTAATGAAAAAATATTTTCCCTTTAAAGAAGTGAGACTATTGAATGACCAGAGTATGCATGTGCTGGCGCATGGTCAGGATGGTACCACGTCTGCCTCCATTTGAGCCGGGAAAGACCCTGCATACTGAAATCTCCACCACTGCTTATTAACAATCTGCCGTATAGTCAAAACAGCAAAGATACAAGCTTGTTTTAGCACAGAGAACTAGTTATGATAGCAGCAGAGCTTTAGCGAGTCCTTGTCATTGATGTGAAGGTTGAGGCCTTCGCTTTAGTCTGTGTGTTTTTATTTCCCTCCCATACGAGGTCAAGAGGATTAAATGAGCTGCTGTTTGATTGATTGGACTTTCTGACTTTCCTTTGCTCAGACGGAGGATTTTTCAGGCTAAGATGATGAATGCTATTAGGAAAACATCAGCTTATCTACTCTCCTATTTAAACAACCTTGCGAAGATGTGGCAATGAATTAGCAAAGGGTTTAAAGTGCAACAGACTGTCCCTTAACAATTCATCCATCTGTAGAAAGGAGTTTGGTAACTATAACAGACAAGGCGCACCAGCATATAAATTCAGTCCACAGCAACATTTTGAAAGCATTTTATTGTGAAAAATCTGCAGAGCATTGGCATTTCTCCTGCTTAAAAAAATAAAATATTATGTCCACAAGCATGACTTTGCTTCAGTTCTCCATGCAGCATATGCTGGGGAACGAAGGATGACACCTGAGTGGCAAATATTATGTGGTATGCAGTTTCAGGGGCAGCATGGTTTGGGGTCGTGGCTATTTATAGCTTTGCACATGTGCTTCACTAAGATCTCATAAGCGTCTGAGGCAGGCTGTGTGGGATCAGACTGCACACTGGGTGCACACATGCCACAAAATATCAGGGTTCTCACAAAATTCAGAGATTTCTTTTCCTCATCCCTCCTTTTAATTAAAATGTTCCTTTGATTTTCTTCACATTTCTTTATCTGCAAGCATGTGTGAGAGATTTGCTGACCCGTGTGGTTTTCTGTTCGGTTCCCAGACTTTTTGGACAGGTCACACAAGTCCATTGCAGTTTCGTCACGCTTCCTTTCTATCATCTCTGAGCCTGAATGTTTAGTCACTTATAAACAAATGAAATTGAATGATTTGCCACGCCGTTTGATGATTGTTGGATTACTCGCCTAAACAAGTATTCGGGTTTTAATATTAAAGTTTTAAGCAGAATTTCTCCGTTAAACCCAAAATTAATTTCTTGTTAATGTTTTTTCATCACTGGTGATGATACATTATACATAATATCAGCAGAAATCTGTTGTTTTCCTACTAATAATTAATACACCTTTCAGCTGACTTATTTATTTCAGCCAGTTAAATCAGAGGAAATGGCTCAGGTGCTAAAGTACAAACCACAGCTGAGGTATGATAATGTCTTTGATAAAGCAGGACTTCACTGCTGAGTTGTTTGTTTGTTTGTTCTCAGCTTTTGCAGCTTTTACTTTATAATCAGATATGAAATCATCATTATTGAAATATTAGACTAATTTTTATGCTTAGAAGATCCTGAAGAGGGCACCACACTGTTAAACTCACTAAGTTTTTATAGGAAGAACATTATTGGTCAGTCCTTCTGCATGAAGGTCAGATTACAGGTGTAGATGTGAGGAAATGTGTTCTTCTAAGCCTGCTCTTGTTGTTTTTGTTGATCCACTTTGACAGCAGCTGGTCGGACTTTTGAAATATTTAGTTTAATTCTTGTTTTCTTGGTTTCAAATATTCTGCAGCCGTGATCGCACAAACCATAAATGGTTCTTAATTTTGATCTCTCGTAACAGTTTTATATATTTTTTAGTAGTTTTAATGTTTCCTCTTCCACCTGATGTTTGAGCAGAATAGTCACCAACCCACTTCCCAACCCTCAGCACGCCTGAACTATTTTTAGATTAACTAATTGGAAAAATCTACTAAGAATGTCATCTCAAGTTCCCATGTTATGATTTAATTGCTTTGGGTTTGTAAAAAATGTACATTTTATTATGAGATTTTTCATCTTCACGTGCTGAAATAACCACAGAAAATGTCTTTGGAAGGATTTCTAATCCCTGTCCTCTTTATCTTTGCAGCATGATTTTTTATCTAACATGTGTTTCCAGTTATTTTTGCTGGTAGCAGTGTTGTGATGTAATTTAAAGGTTTCTCAAAATCGTTAGCACCTTTAAATTATAATGAGCAGAGTTGTATTTATGCTGAAAGGAAAGGAAATTCATTGTTCTTTTGCTTCATAAATGCAACAAAAACATGTTTCTGTGTGATCATCTTCAAAAGCAAAGTTAATGCACCTATTTCTGACTTGAATATGTTTTTCTTTTCCTCTGGTTTTACGGGTTTCAGTTAGATAAACACCAAACCGCTTGGAAACTCAAATTAGCAAGTAGCTATGGAAAACCTGACGGGACTCGCTCTGGATGCTTGAAGAGAGAGGGAGTTCCAGCTGCCTCAGTGGCTGTTAGGCACTCAGACGAGATCAGGGAGACTGCTGCAGCTTCCTTTAGCGTTTTAGTCACACGGCAACCTGAACCCCGATCCTCACAAGGTGCTACGGGATGAAGTTCCTGCTTAAGACCGGGAGGGATCACAGAGCACATCTGGTTACTCTCATGTGCTGCATGGGTTAGTATTTACCTCACAGCTTCCTCAAACGATTAGTCATGTCTGCGCTTGTTCATTACCAGAAACAAATCAGAGATCCTAAGAAGTATTTTGTAGTGTAATCTCTAGAGAATATTAGAAAAGACAGGAGGTTATTTGTGTTGTTGGTCCAGTGGACAGGGATTAAGGAAAGCCAACCTGACATTGATGGTGGCATTGTTTTTAGGATAAACTTGAGCTAAATGATTGAGGTTGCCATTAATGTTTTTGGTCAATGAGTTTTTTATTTGTATTTTTTTGCAATCATCGCCGAATACTCTGAGGAGTTAAGTCTGGTGGACTGGCTCACGGGGAGGCGGTGAAATGAGTCAGAGCTGTGGCGACTGCTGAATCCTAATCCATGGATAAAATAGATTTTGAAAGAAACTAACAGCAAAATTATCACAAAGCGGTGAATTAATACAGGCTTCTATCTTTGTTTAGGTAACCATTGGTGGATAGATGAGATGAATTTAGTGAAGAATATGTATTTTAATGAATGAGTCCAGTCCTGTGCTTTCACTGATGTCAGAGGCTAGTTGCTATGGAGATTGAAACAAACAAATATGAGAAGGTTGTGTGCAGCATCTGAAAGCTTTTATCAGAAAGTAATGCTGACTTTACATTATAAAGCTTTTATGGCTACATAAATTAAATTCTACTCCCCAGAGTTCATATATTTCAAAATTATTTTATGAAAAAAATCCTTCTGGTTTATATTTTTTCTATTAACGAGTTATAAAGTAGAACTTTTTTTCAAGATTCAAATGCATGTATAGGAATCCCGTTTTTATTGGATTTATGCTTGATGTGCTCTTTGTCATGAAACATATTATGCATTATTTTTGATTTCTGCTGCCACTTTTTTCATTTTATGCCTGAAGTTTGGGTGTGGATGTGTGAGACACAGAAAGCTGTTTGTACCTGTTGTTGCTATGTTATGTAAGGGTGTTTCTGCAGTGTTGCATTTGTGTTTTTTAGCAATTCTCAATTATTAAACAATTAGGAAAATAGTTAACTTTTGAAAATACATTTTGACTATTTCAAATGAAAGCAAATATTCCATTAGCCATACAATCATGTCATCTATCCCAGATTGATTTTAGACTACCATTAGACTGACAACCTTAACCCTTTTTAGGGTTAACGCTATAAAATTGCATAAAAGCATTATTGCAACAAATGGTTACATGGCCTGTATTCGATGTAGTGCCTTCTAGAGTCCTGGAACCCCCAAAGCACTCCACAACACAACCATTAACTCATTCACACCCTGGTGGTGATGAGCTACATTGGAGCCACAGCTGCCCTGGGGCACACTGACACCAACAGCAGGAAATGTGGGTTAAGTGGCATGCCCAAGGACACAACGACAGCGACAGACTGAGTGGGGCTTGAACCTGGAACCTTCCAATCACGGGACTACCACTTAACTCCTCTGCCCCGTCGCAGCGAACCTGGTTTTGCAGAAGAATTGTGAAAAAAACATCTAACAAAAACTCCTTTCTTTTCCAGATGAAAGAGACAGAGTGCAGAAAAAGACGTTTACAAAATGGATAAACCAGCATCTGCTCAAGGTAAGAGCTGAAATAGATTTTGTTTGCTTTGTCTAAATCTATCACTTCAAAGCTTATTTCCAAATCTAATATCTGACCACATAAAACTGCATTTACATTTACACTGAAATGATGCCAAAATAATCATTAAAATTGGCGTCTCCTTTTTTTCCACCACAATTATCAAAGCCATTTTCGTGCAACGTGTCTGATCAAATCATTTATTGCTTCTTTCCTTAGATGGTCCGAACATGTTAACATTCCTGCTCCAATGTTATTAAAGCTTGTTAAGAACAATTTGGGATGGCATTTGTGGTTGTAGTGTTGCTGTAACAGGTTTCCTTTTGTTGAGTTGGGAATTTGAAACTCTTGCTGTGGATGTTTCATCTGCATTTATTAAAACACTTAAGAAAATAAACGAGCAAGGGCCTGTCTTATCTGTTAACATCTGGGAATGTGATCTGAAAAATGGTTTTCTGTGTTACAAGCATAAATCACGACCATCACTAAAAGACGTTTGTTTATGTTGTCTGTGGGAAGTTGATCAAGCGTTGATTTAACTGTTTTTAAGGTCTAAAAGACATCAGATGAAGTGAAATGCTGTTTTATTTGAGGACTCGATTGTTATGACTGATGTGAAGATTTTCATGGTTTCGATTTTCTTTATGTTATTTCAATTCCTCCGTTTGGCACGAACGTTCCAAAGCTAATGTACTAAAACAAGCGATGCAAGAGCAGACTATTATATCTTTGTACTGGATGCATTTACAGGTGCTGATCATAAAATTAGAATATAATGAGTTCATTTATTTCAGTAAATCCATTCAAAAAGTGAAACTTGTATGTTAGATTCCTTTATTACACACAGTCTGATATATTTCAAATGTTTATTTATTTTAATGTTGATGATTGTAACTGACAACTAATGAAAATCCCAAATTCAGTATCTCAGAAACTAGAATATCAATCTAGACCAATGCAAAGAAAAGGGATTTTAGAAATGTTGGTCAACTGAAAAGTATGAGCATGTGCAGCACTCAAAATTTAGTTGAGGCTCCTTGGGCCTGGAATACTGCAGCATGGAGTCGATCAGTCAGTGGCAATGGTCATGTTGCTCTAATAGTGACCTTCAGCTCTACTGAATTGTTGGGTCTGGTGTGTTGCATCTTCCTCTTTCCAATACCACATAGATTTTCTATGGCCAATCAAGAACAGGGATACCATTGTCCTTAAACCAGTTACTGGTAGCTTTGGCGCTGTGTGCAGTTGCCAAGTCCTGTTGGAAAATTAAATCTGCATCTCCATAAAGTTGGTCAGCAGCAGGAAGCATGAAATGCTCTAAACCTTCCTGGTATGACATGACACCCCAAACCATCACTGGCCCATAGGGCTGTAGCGAAGCCTCGACGAAGTCGACGGCTCGATTCTAAAAATTTGTCGACGTCAGATCCGGAAGTCGACGCACCGCGCCCACTTGTTGCATCCCCAGGAGTTTGTAAGTAGAGGAGGAATCCGCCTGTTTTTCCTCTAGTTCGCCCTCTTCTCCGCCTTCACTAACATCTCCGCCAAATACCGAAGACCCGGAACAACGTCCGTCCACTACTAGATTATTTTCCTGTTTTGCCCCTTCGTCTCCCGGCAACGGACAACAACTTCCGGGGTCAGATGCGCTGCTCCGTGTCTATCGCAGATGTAGAAAATCACCGGGAGCGTTTCTCCCTTCATTAAGGAGCTTCTTTCAGACACTAGGAGAGCTGTTTTGGTGGTAGCAGTCTCTCCTCCGTGCTGGTCTGTTTGCTGCCGGGTGTTTTTGGTTTATTTAAACTTGGTAACTTGAACTTAATGTTGGTAAAGCTACTGTTAGCATTTTCGCTAACAGCTTCTTCCGTTGGGATAAGCTGTTACGTTTTGGTTTAGAGTTCATCTTTTTTGTGGTGCAGATCTCCCTTTTATTACATTTAGAGTGTTGTGGGTTTTCGGTTTAGTGTAAAATATCACCTGAGTTTGGTTTAACCCGTAAGACCACTCGCCTCACGCACATAAGTGACCAAAACAAAGCAGCATGGAGACACTCCATCTTCTACCACCTCTCAGGCAGCAGCCTGCACTCCCAAGTTCTACACGTCACCAGAACATAACCAACCAACACAATAAAAGCAGTGTTATACAAAATGGAAGGCCTGTAGTGTTTATTCTCTTACAGTAAGAATTTATCAATTTTTTTGAGGAATTTATTTGAGATTTTCTGGTTTTTGTTAATTGTGCAATAGAAAAATAATCATTAGATTAATTTTCTAAATAGTCATTAGAATAGTCGACTATTCGATAAAATAATCGTCAGAATAATCGTTTTAAAAATAATCGTTTACCCCCAGCCCTACTGGCCCAATCCCAATACTCGCCCTGCGGTCTTCAGCAGAGTGCACGTGGAGAAAGTGTGCTGTAAGGCTTCGAGTGCGTAGTACACAAGTCTGCAAATAATGGCAGAATTGAGACATTCATTACTGCTTTGTCTAAAAGTTTTAGAGCATCAACTAATTGTTCTAAAATGAACTAATTTCATTAGAAAATATATATTTTCAGAAAAGGAACTTGAGCCTTTTCTCCCGCAGCAAATGATTGTGGATAATACCCTTCACCCAAGTCCGCATCGATGCAGACTTGGGTGAAGTGCGGATCAAGGGTGCAAAAAGGGGCGTGATCAACTTCCACACTTGAGAATCGAGACATCCCACGCACTCGCACCCGTGGTTGGGATCGCGCAACTGAAGGGCGCAAGTGTGGAAGTACGTGTATTGAGATTGGGCCACTGACTGTGGAAACTTTACACTGGACCTCAAGCAACGTGGATTCTGTGCTCTCCTATCTTCCTCCAGACTCTGGAACCTTGGTTTCTAAAGGAAAGGCAAACTTTCATCAGAGAACATGACTTTGGACCACTCAGCAGCAGTCCAGTCCTTTTTGTTTTTAGCCCAGTTGAAATGCAGTTGATGCTTTCTCTTGTTCAAGAGTGGCTTGACACAAGGAATGCGACAGCTGAAACCCATGTCCTGCATAAATTGAAAAAATGTTTTACATGTGTGGTGGCATCAGCTGGCGTAGGCCAGACGATGCTCGCACTGCCCGCTCACTACAGCCACGAATACACCTCATCAACACGCACCAACGCTGTATTGGAGCAGGCGGAGGGAGACTAGGGGTCTTAGCACACCTCTGTTGTCGCTTGGCTTCCCAGGGCTGGAGGCTAGGAGGGCGATCTGGCCGTCTGCTGGGGTCTGGGTGGTGGGTCGCTTTGCTCGGCGTTGGGCGGGGGAGCCTGCTCATCAGCACCCCAGCAGAAAGGGTCAAACTCTGGTAACCGGTGATGGTTGTACCCTTTCTGCAGCAGTACAGGGACCAGAGTGAATAGGGTGTGTATGGGGAGCATGAGTGGGTGTCTGGCGTGCAGTTTTGCAAGTCTTAGGTTGCATGTGAAAGTATGAGCATGAGGGAGGGAGTGTGTGACTGTGTTTGTGAATGACTTTATATGTCAGGTGGGGCCTTTGACTCCTCCCCTCTCCTGGAACTTCTTTTGCTGCTATACATCTTCGCCTCCCCTCCCCCTGTCGCACTTGGTGTGGAGTGTGGTGCCTTGGTCTGCCTGAGTGTTCGTGGCTCCCGGGTCAGGGGCTTTAATATTTTTGGCGTCTGCCTGATCAATCCCAGTGGCTGCCTGGTGGGATCTGGGTCCCAGGTCGCTGGGTTCCGGGCTCAGCCGGCTTGGGGGTGGGAGGCTGCGGGCGGGCCTGTGGGCTTGTTGCTGATATCCCCTGGGACTCTGCCGGCTGCTGGTTGTGGCCCCCTAGGGCAATCCTCTGCGCCTCTCGAGGGGGGCAGGGGCTTTTCTGGTCGCATTCTCCCTGGGGTCCCTGTGCTCTGGGGCAGCTCCTGAGTCTCTGAGACTTGAAGCTCCTTCCATCTCCTATGCATCTTTGGGGGACAGATCTGTGGCCCCTCACACTCTCTATTGGACGCTCCTAAAGAGAAACCTTACATAAACAAGCGCGTGTATGCACACAGGTGCTCACATGGTGCTCTCATAAGTATGGACTTGGGCACATTCAACACATGTCTTAAGGCTGTGGTTGGCACTAAATGCACTGTGATTTATTATCGTGATTGTTCAGTAAAACAATGTTGATTTTATATTTCCTCATCAAGTTGACGCTGTGATAGCATGCTCCCGTTGTATTGCTGTGTGTCCCTTTTCTTGTTTTTTTCTCTCCTTCTGCAGGTCTAGAAGCAGACTCTTGTTCATTATCAATTGTTTGTTTTTGTGCCCCCTCCTTTTGTCTCTTCCTTTCTCATTCACCTCTGTCTCCATGTCCGGTCGGAATTACAAGTATTCAGAAAACAACAACAATAAAGTTTTAAGTATCAGGCGTGACATTAAAAGCAGAAGCTTTGATGCTCCACCTGACAGTAAATCTGTAAGGCTTGTCACCAGCATTCAGACATTAATCCTGTTTGCTTCACAGCCAGACAGGACACGGTGGGGAAAAAATGTTTTACAGGAGAAAAAGTAGCAGGTACACAGATGTGCTTCTTTATCTCAGAGGACTGATGTATTTTCTACATTGCAAAGCATGAATTACTGTTGGTCTTGGGTTTTTGTGGTCTTCAAACTGGAATTGCATGACAAAATAAGCTTTAACAAATGCCCTTTAGACCATAATAACTTATGACGCATCAAAGCTGAACACATACAGCATATTCACACAAATACACTTTTGGAAATGTTTAACCCCTTATAGGACACTAGTTTCATGTTGATGTTATCCAGTCCAAGGTGACATGTCCAAATGTTAGAGAGTAAGACTCCAAATCCTGCCGTCTTCAGCTCATCTCTGATCTGGCTCTCTTCCTGAAACAGGTGTATTGAAGCTTTTTCCCCATCGTAAAACTTACGAGGCATTTACTTCAACTAAAGACCACTGCAAATGTTTTATCAAAGCAGTTTGTTGGTTGATTTCCTGTAAAGAGGTTAACTGTTTTACGAAAGACTAAAGTAACATTGGTTTTTGATGCTAGACAAAAATGACCCATTTAGCAGTAACATTTGGGTTTAGATGAACTGTTTAATGTTTTGTACAATAATCCATCGACTGAAAAGTGACATAACTTTGTCCATTGCATATTTAGCTCATAGTCACTATATCAGGGATGTCAAACTCCAGTCCTCGAGGGCCGGCATCCTGCATTTCTTTGTTGTTTCCCTGTTCCAACAGTTGATTCACCTGTGCAGCAGCTCATCAAGCTCTCCAGAAACATGCTAATCACCTGATAATTGAAATCAGGTGTGTTGAAACAGGAAAAACACTAAAACAGGTGGGATAGCGGCCCTCGAGGACCAGAGTTTGACACCTGTGCACCGTATGAAGAATCTTCCCATTTCTTGAGATCTATTAAGTGTTTGTAAAGGCCTAATATTGAATCAACTAATAATCTTGAAATTCACTCCATCCTCTTTTAAAGAAGAGAAACAGGTATTTATTTGGTGAAAGGTTTCATAGTAACAGCACCAGGTGTTCAGCTTAGATTAATTTAAAGGGTTAAAAAGTTTTGGATCAGCAAACTTGGACCTCCTTGCCACCATGTTTTTATAATTAGTAAATAAATGTTTGAGCATGTTGGAACATCATTTGGAGAAATTTTTAATGGCACATGAAGCTTTACGCTCCATAGCTTAAGGGCAGGTTGACACAGCTCTCAATATTTATTCATATTCTCAGTTCTGGCAGAAAAATGCAAAAAAAAAAAAAAAACAATAATTGATATCTAAAGTGTAAATAAAAAACTAATGTCATTGAAAAGCCAGACTATAGCATGATTATAAGTGATAAGTGTTTATGTATTTAAGATACATGCACCTATGTTTGAAACATGGATGAGGTGCTGAGTAATGTTGGGGATCTGCATTGCTGACCCGATAATATAAAGGTGCTGATCTATTTTGGCTCCACAGCTGTGGCTGCTATCTGGGATTACAGTGCTGAAAAACGTGTGAAAGCAGGTCAACGGGCATCACGTTGGTTTAAGAGGTCTGGTATTCAGGACAGGAAGGAGAGGCCCTCGGATCGCGGTCGTTAAGTTCTTCACTCCAGTGTTAGGACGTGGTGTCAGGGTGATAACCTGCAAGTGTTTTATACCACATTTATGACTTTGTATAAGAAGATAGACATTTTTTAAGCTGTGAATCAAAGTTTTTCTATCTATGGGCCAGTCTTCAAACATCCTCGCATGAAACTGATGAGTGTTGGTTTCCTATGTTTCAGCAAGCACCAATAAAGTATTTCCAATTCCAGACATTTTCCTGTTCTTGTTTCTGCAGGTGCGCAAACACATAAACGACTTGTACGAAGACTTGCGAGATGGACACAACCTGATCTCCCTGTTGGAGGTTTTGTCTGGAGACACACTGGTGAGTTCATGTTCTTTTGTCTGTTTTCTTCCTTTTTAACGGCGTTCCTTAAAAAAGATTTTTAACCACAAGGAACCTATCAGTGTGGAGATTGAGGGCGTTATCCCTCATCTTGTGCAGCTTTTTCACAATGAAGACATGGGAATTTCCTTTTCACGTTCATGTAACTGATGGTGGGAGGGAAGAGGGAATCCTGGGATTTTACCATCTGTGATCAGATCTGGTGTTTTGGCATCAACAACGCCCACTCATAAAGTGAAGATTAAATGAAATTGAAGCCTCAATGAGACAGAAACGTATTTGGCAGCCACTGATTGTGCAAGCTGTCCCACTTAAAAGACAAAGAGAGGTCTGTAATTTCTAATATTTACAGTTAAACTGTGAGAGACAGAATGTAACAAAAACTAAATCCAGGAAAGCACATTGTCTGATTTGTGTAATGATGCAGAAATGGAGTATTTTTCAATAACAAAAGACCACCTCAATACTTTATTATGTAGCCTTGGTTGGCAATGACAGGGGTCAAAAGTTTCCTGTAGGTCTTAACCAGGTTTGCACACACTGTAGCTGGTACTTTGGCCCATTCTTCCTTGAAGATCTTCTCTAGAGCTGTAATGTTTCGTTGCTCCTTCCACAGGTATCTATTGGATTGAGGTCTGGAGACTGGCTAAGCCATTCCAGAACCTTGAAATGCTTCTTTGTAGCCACTCCTTTCTTTCCTAAGCCCCCTTCAGACAGGCCATGAAAAACGGAAATGTTCCGGACTCTGTCCGTAAGACCTTTGTGTCTGAATACAAACATCCGTATAACGTGTTGCGGAATTTATCCGGACGAAGCCCCTAGTAACAGGTCCGGACTTGTTACGGACAGGGTGGCTGCTTCAGACTGGTGAGGTAGAGTTCAGGACAAGGGGGAGGGGGAGGAGAAGGGGACCGGGGGACGCTGTGCGCACCTAGATAACTCGCTCCTGTAGCATGCGGCGAACCACGGCAGCTCGCCTCCTACGGTACCGCCTAGACGCGCGACGGAGCGCTTCACACCGCTTCAGTGATTCCTTTAACCATTGAGCTTCATCATCCAGGTCTCTTATGCGTCTTCGTGTGCGCAGAATTATGCTTAAGCGCCTCGTGATTTTTATCTTGAGAGGCGCTATAGAAATGATATTTTCTTCTTCTTCTTAACATAAGTCCGACCCCCCCCCCCCCCCCCCCCGCAGCCGTCAGACATCTGGAACTTTTCCCTGCTGTGTGAACGCAGCCGAAAGGACAAGTTCTGGTACAAAAGTGGTGTGTCTGAAAACACAGTTCTGGTTAAAAACCGGATTGAATTGTCCGCATATGTTCCAGAATGTCTATCTGAAAAGGGCTCTAGTGAGTTTGTGATCACTCAGTGCATTTACACGTGCACCAGAAAACAAACTGTTGCCCTAAACAGACTTGCGTAATAAAAAAAAAAGATGCATGTAAACCCATTAGTCTTGCTGAAGGTGAACTGGTTCCAATCATGCTGAAGCACCCAGATAATGCGGTAGGTACCCGACTTCATCTGCATGTATGGCTCGGTCAAACTGGTACTGGTTACGTCCGTCAGTTACAAGACTGTGGAAGCAATCTTCTGATAATACCATCACCACAAAGTAGGGATGGGTACCTTTGACATTTGAATCGATTCGGTACTAATTCTCGGTACCTAGGAATCGATACCGGTACTTAACGGTACCAATTTTTGATACTTTCGAGTGTTTAATTAGGCCCGAGCAGCGAAAGCGCTGCGAAGGCCTCTTGTTTTTGCTCTGATTATTATTATTTTTTGTTATTCCGTGCCCCCTTTGAACAGCTTTTTGGGGACCTTAACATACCCCAAAACTCACAATATTTTGCACACTTGTCAGGCCTGGTGAAAAATTTGATATTTTAAAGGTCCCAAAAAAATCGCAAAGAAAATGGCTGAACAGCGCCCCCTACAAAGTGAAAAAAACCCCTCTCCATAAAGCTTAGTTTATCGTACAGTTATGAAATTTGGTACACTTGTAGTACTCAACAGTCCGCACAGAAAAGTCTCTTGCAACCATGGTCAATATCAAACAGGAAGTCGGCCATTTTGGGTTGAAATGGCGATTTTTTGCCGTTTTTGCCGTTTTTAGGGTCCGTTTCTGATTGGATTGCTCGATCATTTTTCGCACGATCGTCTCAAAAATTGTGTAAAATTGCTCAGAAGGGATGGGCGAACAAAATGAGATAAGGATTCTGAGTTTTCGTATATGTTGAAGGGGCGGAGCCAGGCCTCGAAGTTTGACTACTCGCCAAAAATATTTAAATTGCTATAACTTCATAACTGAATGGAATAGAGTTACCAAACTTTCTGTGGTCATTCGTCATCCACCCACAAAGTAAATTGAAAGGTCGGATGATGACATCACACAAGCCCCGCCCCCTCAGGACCAAAAAGATCAAGTTTTACTGTGAAAGGTCCCAAATTGCCCCATTTCACTTAATCACCACAAATTTGTAGCTGGTAACTCAAGACAAGTGGGGGTTGCTTGGCGTCACTTTATGGGAGTTTTCGGCAGAGGGCGGGGCTGTGGTGGCGCGGCGAATTCAGGCGTACCGCCTTGGCCTTACGTTTGCCTCCCATTTCGTCATTTCCAAAGATATCGTCACGAAACTTCTTGTGAGTGATCCTAGTCCGGCCCCCCAAAAGATCTGATGTGAACATCTGGTGGGCGTGGCCTATTTTCTGAAATAGCGCCCCCTAGGACCATTAAAACTATTAGCCCCAAGCCATGCTTTGACTGAGGATTACGAAATTTGGTACACTAATGTGGTGTCTCAGGACCTACAAAAAAGTCTCTTGGAGTCAAGTTCAAAGTCGCACAGGAAGTCGGCCATTTTGGATCAAGTACGCGATTTAGTGGTTTTCGCACACGTTGTTTGGAGAGTGATGCTCCGTCGCCCTTTTCACCAATCTCCTTCAAACTTCTGCTATATACCCTTAAGACATAGGGGAAAAAATTCAACCGTCGGATTTTTCAAAAGTTGAAAGGTGTGGGCGTGGCTAAGCCTCAAACTTTGACCTGTCGCCACGCTACTCTTTTTTTCACAGCTCCCTACTGGACTCCTTTTACCCAATCACCAGGATTCTGTGGCAAACAGCAGTAGACAAGTTGAGGTTACTTGGTCTCCAGTACTGGCAGGTTTTGAAAAAAGGCGGGGCTTTGGGACCATGGCGAAAATCGCCATCACGCCATGGAAATACGTTTGTCTCTCATTTCTTCAGTTATCGTGATATTGCTACGAAACTTCTGGTGAGTGATCCTAGTCTGAGCTCCAAGAGAAATAGACAGCTGAATTTTGTGGGCGTGGCCTATGTTTTGAAATAGCGCCCCCTAGGACCATTTAAACTATTAGCCCCAAGCCATGCTTTGACTGAGGATTACGAAATTTGGTACACTAATGTGGTGTCTCAGGACCTACAAAAAAGTCTCTTGGAGTCAAGTTCAAAGTCGCACAGGAAGTCGGCCATTTTGGATCAAGTACGCGATTTAGTGGTTTTCGCACACGTTGTTTGGAGAGTGATGCCCCGTCCACCTTTTCACCAATCTCCTTCAAACTTCTGCCATCTGCTCTTAAGACATAGAGAAAAAAATTCAACCGTCGGATTTTTCAAAAGTTGAAAGGTGTGGGCGTGGCTAAGCCTCAAACTTTGACCTGTCGCCGCGCCACTCTTTTTTTCACAGCTCCCTACTGGACTCCTTTTACCCAATCAGCAGGAGTCTCTGGCAAATAGCAGTAGACAACTTGAGGTCACTTGGTATCCAGTACTGGAAGGTTTCAAAAAAAGGCAGGGCTTTGGGAGCATGGCGAAAATCGCCATCACGCCATGGTAATACGTTTGCCTCTCATTTCTTCATTTATCGTGATATCGTTACGAAACTTCTGGTGAGTGATCCTAGTCTGACCCCAAAGAGACATAGACAGCTGAAATATGTGGGCGTGGCCTAATTTCTGAAATAGCGCCCCCTAGGACCATTTAAACTTATAGCCCCAAGCCATGCTTTGACTGAGGATTATGAAATTTGGTACACTAATGTGGTGTCCCAGGACCTACAAAAAAGTCTCTTGGAGCCAAGCACAAAATTGCACAGGAAGTCGGCCATTTTGGTCCAAGTACGCGATTTAGTGGTTTTCGCACACGTTGTTTGGAGAGTGATGCTCCGTCGCCCTTTTCACCAATCGCCTTCAAACTTCTGCTATATACTCTTAAGGCATAGGGGAAAAAATTCAACCGTCGGATTTTTCAAAAGTTGAAAGGTGTGGGCGTGGCTAAGCCTCAAACTTTGACCTTTCGCCATTACTTGACTTAATAACTCCCATGTGCATGATCAGATCTTTTTCGAACTTTGTCTGTGTGATCATTGACCATATCTGTAAACAATGACAATGTGGACAGCTGACATCATCGAAGCCCCGCCCCCTGACTAAAGGAAGTTATTATTTTATGCTGAAATGCCCATATTTGTCCCCTCTAATTTAGTCAACATGACACCTAGGTCATGCACTGTCTTCATGATGCTGTAATGGCCATTCAAATCTGATAGCTTTCCAGAAAGGGAGGGGCTTTGATGCCATGGCGAATTCTGGCGTAACGCCGTAACCTTACAATTCAATTTAATGGTGAGCTCAGAGGGGATGCTTAGTCAGGGTGAGGTGCGGACTAGGAGGCCATTTGCTGTTTCCGGTGACGGGATGATTGACGTTTCTGTTCTGCAAGACATGCCCTGGTGCCCCGGGCTGCCGGCCAGGCCGGAGCGGCGCGGAGCTGCGAGGGCCGAACGACGCTGCTTGCAGCTTTAATATTTTAATTATCTTTTAAAATTAAATATATATTTTCTCAATATATAACCAAATTTGATAAATATCACGATAAATAACATACAACTGTTTGTATTTTAACATCGTCCTTGTAGTTTTATAAGCTGATAATTAAACTGAAGCAAACATCTTTACTGTGAACTAAATTTATTGTGTATCTTCATTCCTTTTGCCGTCTTTTTTCATTTGATTTTTCCTACTGGGAAGTTAGAATTTCCGAGGAGAATGCAAACCCACCATTAGCTGATAACAATGGTGGCAATGGAAGCTAACATATCAAGCTAACATTATCTTAAACAGTTTATTTAACTGCTGGAGCAGATTAAAACGATGATACCTCACACTTAGATCGTTGTCATTGGTTTCATCTTCACCCAATCACCCGTCGCATTTAGGAAAGTGAAGCCAAACTTTAGAGCACGTTCATGTTCTTCTAGCCGGAGATTCGGAATTCCGAGGAGAAAGCGAACGCACCATTAGCGGAACGGAAGCTAACATATCAAGCTAACGTTATCTTAAACATTTTTTTTACCTACCGGAGCAGATTAAGATGAGGATGTCTCACTTAGATCGTTGTCGCTGGTTGCATCATCACCCAGTTACCCATCACATTTAGTGAAGAGGACCCAGGCTTTAGCGTGCATTCTTTCTACCATACTGCTCTGTTTACAACTGGCTTGCAGCGACCAACGACATAACACTCTTGCGCATGTGCAGCTGTCTAGGCAAGTTCTCGTTATGAAGGACGGGTACCGAAACAAGGCACCATTTCAAATGAAGTGAATCGGTGCTCAGTCGGTACTGTGGAATTCGGTCGGTACCTTAAAAAGTACCGAATTCGGTACCCATCGCTACCACAAAGTAACACGTGTAACACCATCACACAGGACAGTACGTACCAAATAAGCTGTTCTGCAGCGTTGTTGTCCATTTCTTCGGCCATTGTGCATATCCTGTTTTAACTTTGTCTGCTTCACTCCCGCTTGTGTCTGTTTACTAGTTATGTTGCTACAAGAATGCCGACATGAGTGGAACAAACTTCATTTGGGGGCATGGTTTTCTAACATACATATAAGCTAGGATAACGGCTCCTAGTTTATTACTTTAAATCGACGTAGATGTGCTTGTAAACACAGTAATTGTCATGTTGGAAGATCCAGCCATGTTTCATCGTCAATGCTCTCACTGAAGAAGGTTTTTGCCCAAAATCTCATTATGCATCAGTTGTTCTGTCACCTTTGCAGAAAAGCAGCCCCAAAGCATAATGTGTCCATCCCTATTCTTCACAGAGGGCGTGGTGTTCTTGGGATGCAACTCAGCATTCTCTCCCCTCCAAACACAGAGAGAGGCATTTTTACCAAAGACATTTACCCAGTCTTGTTCAGGTGTGCAGTCTTGTCTCCCGGGCAGCTGTAGCTCAGGAGGTAGAGCAGGTTGACTACTGGAGGACTGCGGGATGGATCCCAGCTTCCGCCGGGGGTATTCTACTGTTGTGTTCTTGGGCAAGACCCTTCACCCAACTTGCTTATGTTGGTGGTGGTCAGAGGGGCCGATAGCCTAGGGTTGAACGATCAATCGTTTTTGTACCGAAATTGCGATTTCAAACTGCACGATCACGTGACCGTCAAAGCTGTGGTTTTAGTGGTTTTGACTGATCCAGGATCAGTTGTGTAACTTTTTTTTTACATCCGAGGTTTTCCCCCTGTGTTATGGCGGTGGCAAAAGCCAGCGTGGGAGAGGAGGGTGGGGTGTACCGTTCAGAGCCAAGCCCAACTCCACAGCTGACAGAGCTGCATGTTCAGGTTATTTTCCCCGTTTTATGTTCCGCCACACACAGCGTTGCTAGAGCCAATAATAATGGCACCGTAGGTGAGCCCAGGACAGAGAGAGAAAGAACGTAGTTGAGTAGGGGAGAGAGAGACTCTTCCCACATCGGAGCAGGTTCAGGCTGACTTCTAAAGCTTGGTTTATGCTTCATCAGCGCGAGTGCAGAGTCGCACACTTTAGTTGACTCGAAAGTTTAACTTCTCTTTTAAAAATGGTTTGAATGTTTCTGATGACACACGTTAGTTCAAACAAGCTAAGGAGTAAGAATGTGTGCGTCTATCTCACGGAACTGACGTTTTAGTGAGGAAAAACTATCAGACGGCTTCGAAAAACGGGAAGCCAACCTGCCTTGGTAATGCAGGGAAAACCGTGTGCATTTAATTATTTAATACATTTATTTCTACCTACAGATTTCCTCCAGGCATTTTTGGAGTAGAACATGTTTTAATAAAGCTCCTCTCTAGATAAAAATCACAAGCAAAAGTTGCTTCACAAACATAAAAAAAGATAATAATGGGAGAAGATCTTAATAGCTTTAACTGTTTTTATTGTATGATTAAATAGTAAATATTAATGTGAATGATTTATTGAACAAGATTAGAATCTAGACCATCTTTTCATTTAATCTACAGGATGGCTTGGCAGGCTAGTGTTGGACATTTGTTTGCAGAAAATCGTGAATTGAACCAAAATTGCGATTTCTGCTAGAAAAATTGCAATTTAATCTTTTCCTAAAATCATTCAGCCCTAGCCTCGCCTTTGTCAGACTGCCCAGGATGACAGTGGCTACATAGTAAATTACCGTCACCGACAGTGTGTGATTGTGTGAATAATGGAAAGCACTCTGAGCGCCTTGAAAAGCTCCTTAAAAATCAAATCCATTATCTATTATTCAGGTGTCCTGCCTTGAAATTTTCATCTTGAGAAGCGATATTTAAAAAAATGTTTCTCCTTCTTCTTAGACCGCTTCTCTGGTATTGGTCATGGTGGAGGTTGGAGTCTGACTGTCTGAAGGTGTGGACGGGTGTCTTTTATACAGATAACAAGTTCAAACAGGTTCCATTAATACATGTAACTAATGGAGGATAGAAGTAGCTGGTCTGTGAGGGGCAAATATCTTGTTTTTTTGTAGGTGCTATATACTTGTTTCTATACAAAATCCTTCTTACTCTCTAATCCTGCGGTGTGATATTTTTTTATATTTCTTTTCTCATGGTTGAAGTGTACCTATGATGAAAATTACAGACCTCTCATCTTTTTAAGTCAGACAACTTGCACAATCAAAAGCTGCCTAATACTTTTTTCCCTGCATTTTAAGTAGTTCCATGAAAAAATTAGAAATGATCAGTTTGTGCTTTTATTTGATGTGATATGTGTTATTTTATGCAATATGAACAAAGATGATCATCTTGCATATTTAGGTTAATTTCAAAATAAAATTAGAGATGTTTTTTTTAATAGGGTGTGGGTTCAAAATGTCAGATAAAATAAAGTTTTTTTTTTAAATTCCATTAATGAAAGTTAAAGAGTAGGGAAATTACCTCTGTGGTTTCCATCTGATGTTTTTAAACAACATCTTGACATCCAGTAGTGTCAAGCTTTCCAACCCACTATCTGCTCAGTGTTGGCGTGAAATTCAATTAAATTCAGGTGGCAAAATATCCATCAGAGTGATTAATTTAGCAAAGTTTGAATTTTTGAAAAATGTTGGGAAAATGGAAAAAATGTCTTGTAACCACTATTTGCTGCATTAGCTGGCAAAAGAAAATTGACGGTGAAAGGTCTCAGATCTATGTCATACTGTAAGCTAGCATTCGTGGACTTGCCCATCTTGACTCATGGCCAGGGACGGCTGGTTTAATTTAACATCCAGGACAGAGCAGAGCGCCCCTCTGCTAGTTTAAGCTAACTGTTAGCATTAGCAACTCCACAACATGGCAGAACTCCTTGAGGCTTATGATATTTATGGAGAAAACATTAACTTTGCTGAGCAAATGGAGGCAGTGGAAGAGTCATGTTGCTGTTAGCCAATCAGAGGCAAGATGTAAGAATTTCATGAATAATAATGAGTAAGCATTTTTCTGCAACTCTCCACTCATGTAACGTTCCTCAAACAGGAGCGCCAGAGTTTTTTTCCACAGAGAACGACCCACATAGCATTCATTAATATTCGATACAGCTGTATCAAAATTTTTACTTCCTCCACATTTTACCATGGTGTATGGTATTACTGGGACTAATTAAAAAAATGACGATGTAATCCTGAAGTGGAATTACCAAACTGTTGGTTTGGACCTTCGCCGTTCGCTCCTGTGACGATGGGGCCTGCGTCTTTCCAGGTCATCTTTTGTTTGCACAAATGACCCTATCAGTGTTTACCAGCTCTTCTTTATCATTTCCTTCAAACCCGAACACTCTCGTTGCGTTTCCTCCTCGCTGTCACGTGATGATATCATGTTCATAAACTTTATGGAACGTCTCCAAAAGTTGGATGAAACGTTTGATACTATTTAAGTAAAACAGAAAATTCAACCACACATCTGTTCTATACATTAAATGACTTTAATTTATCTTTTTAATTAATTAATTTTTTCAATCCTTGCCTCCTACGTGCACTGCATTTTTTTCACGATGGTATTGGAACTGACAACACTGCTATTTTTTAACACCGGCTGTATTACGGTAATGCGGTAATCCCGCCCAAGCCTAAACCACAGCAGGTGTTTCAGCAAAACAAGGCAATGAGAGATTTTAATGTATGCGTCCAAAAGTGTCATCAGTAGGTTAGACTTGTTGGAAATGTACAAGATTCTGTCCTTCCATTGTTTTACTAACTCAGGCTGCGTTTTTCATGCGTTACAAAATTAGTGAGTTGTGAAGATCATCACAAACGATAAGTTCAGTTTCCTGTCAGCCAAACCAGCAAAGACTGATAATTACTAAAATGCTGTAACATCATTTCATTTGTGTGTTTTTAATGTAAAACAAAGAATCTCAGCTGTTTCCTCCACAATCCCTCACTGTGACTTTTAGTAGCTATTCATTTTTCTATTGACATCTTTCTGTCTCCGCCATCGTCTCTTCATTCTTGTACTGGGTCCTGTCCATTGTCTAACTCTTTATGATTTGGTTGGTGTGTGTGTGTGTGTGTGTGTGTGTGTCTTCCTTTTCACCCTCATGTATTGCCCTTTTTGCTGAAAAAGCCAAGGGAGCGTGATTTTCTGAAGACCTTGCGGTTGGTGAGTGGGACAGAAGCATGTACAGTTGAGCAGCATGGAGACTCGGTGGATGATGATAAGGGGGTACGTGTGGTTTGCCACCCCCTCACCCCCCACCCCCACCCGCAGCATCCTCTCTTGAAACAGACTAATTAAAAGCGTGTTGTGGCCTTTTGAATTTAAAAATAAATCCTCACATATGTTGTTCTTACAGCAGTTCTCCATCCTTGCTGTAGCATTTACTGCAGCATGTTGTTATCATTAATGATCACTTTTCTTTTTTTCTTTTTGATTAATTGATTGACGATTGATTTTGTCACATAATGCATACATGCATAATCAAAAGACCCATGCAGCTGCATGTTTTTGGGAAATATATTTTAAGGTCAGTGATGGAGATCATCTTAGCAAATCGAATGTATTTTAAGTCTCAGATAATATGATAAAAGAACATTTATCTCTTTATAAAGTGTGGGTCTTTGCATCCATTTCATTAGATTTATTCATCTAGCGCCATATATGGATTCATTTTAAGTCTCTCTAGACCTACAGTGGGGCAAAGAAGTATTTAGTCAGGTTTGTGAGGGTTCTCCCACTTAAAAAGATGAGAGGCCTCTAATTTTCTTCATAGGTATACATCTATGAAAGAAAAAAAATGAGAAGAAAAATCCAGAAAATCACATTGTCTGATTTTTTTAAGAATTCGTTAGCAAATTATGGTAGAAAATAAGTTTTTGATCTCCTAAAAACACACAATATTTCTGGCTCTCACAGACCTGTAACCTCTTCTGTCCTCCACTCGTTACCTGTATTAATGGCCCCTGTTGGAACTGGTTATCGGTATAAAAGACACCTGTCCACAACCTCAGTCACACTTCACTATGGCCAAGACCAAAGAGCTGTCAAAGGACAGAAACAAATTTGTAGACCTGCACCAGGCTGGGAAGACTGAGTCTGCAATAGGTAAGCCTCTTGATGTGAAGAAATCAACTGTGGGAGCAGTTATTAGAAAGTGGAAGAAATACAAGACCACTGATAATCTCCCTCAATCAGGGGCTCCACGCAAGATCTCACCCTGTGGGGTCAGAATGATCACAAGAACAGTGAGCAAAAATCCCAGAACGGCACGGGGGATCTAGTGAATGACCTGCAGAGAGCTGGGACCAGAGGATACCATCAGTAACACACTACGTCACCAGAGATACTGCAATGTCAGACGTGTCCCTCAGCTTAAACCAGTACATGTGCATGCCCATCTGAACTTTGCTAGAGAGCATTTGGATGATCCAGAAGAGGATTGGGAGAATGTCATATGGTCAGATGAAACAAAAATATAACTTTTTGATAAAAACTTTCCTCTTTATGTTTGGAGGAGAAAGAATGTGGAGTTTCATCCAAAGAACACCATAGCTACTGTAAAGCATGGGGGTGGAAACATCATGCTTTGGGGCTGTTTTTCTGCATAGGGACGATGACGACTGATCCGTGTAAATAACAGAATGAATGGGGTTGGGTATTGTCAAGGAGTGAAAACCTTCCATCAGAAAGAGCATTGAAGATAAAATGTGGCTGGGTCTTTCAGCATGACAATGATCCCAAACACGCCACACGGGTAACGAAGGAGTAATAAGAAGTATTTCAAGGTCCTGCAGTGGCCCAGCCAGTCTCCAGATGTCAGCCTCAAAAAATCTTTGGAGGGAGTTGAAAGTCTGTGTTGCCCAGCAACAGCCCCAAAACATCACGGCTGTAGAGGGGATCTGCATGGAGAAATGGGCCAAATATACCTAGCCTAGTGAACTAGACCAAATTCTTGCTTTGCAAAGAATGGTCTAGGCATGCTCCATTGGAACCTCTGCAGCTCCTACCAGGACGCTGGCTAGCCAATCACAGCTCTCCAGAGGGGTTTCAAACACACAAAGAGCTGTGATTGGTCCATAATGGTGGGCCAATCATAGTGCTCTATCTGCTTAGTGAACAAATCACAGAGCTTTATCCGCTTTGTGGGCCAATCAGGGCACTTTATATGCCTGGTGGGTGGGATGATGCAACAGAGTGAAGCAAGAGTATGTCACATTCATTGTCCAGTGGAATGCGGAGATCATTTGAAAGACAACGGTAGAACCCGCCCCACAACCGAGAGTCGTCAATGGAGCGTGGCCAGACTAAATAATACATTAAATAATACATTTAGTTTGGCTTGTCAGGCTAAAATATACCAGCAACAGTGTGTGAAAACCTTGTGAAGACTTTTGACCTCTGTCATTGCCATCAAAGGGTGTTTAACAAAGTCTTGAGATGGAATTCTTTTATTGACCAAATACTTATTTTCCACCATAAGTTGCAAAAAATTTCTTCAGAAAATCAGACAATGTGATTTTCTGGATGTTTTTCTCATTTTGTCTCATAGTTGAGACAAGATGAAAATTACTGGCCTCTCATATTTTTAAGTGGAAGTACTTGCACAATTGGAGGCAGACTAAATACGTCTTTGCCCAGCTGTACATGCTCATTTATAGAGCATGTGCTTTATTTATTTTTATATGTAATATTTTTTGCTTCTGAGGCCTCCTGAAGGACTTCTTGAGTTATAACTGCTTTCTTTAATTGAAATTGTTGGACTTATTTGCTGCAGGTCAGTTGATTCAAGTCTTCGGCTTCTGCTGCATTCTGACTTGAATGACTTTTCCATGTCATTTCCTCACATTGTGGCCCCTGAGCATTCATCAGCATTTGCTACAAACGTTCATAAAACACAGATTACTTATGGCACGACGAGCAGATTTATAATTAATTCAATTTATTGCATTTGGTTATCAGAGTTGCTTCTCTTTTGGGTTCGGAGGGTTGATGAAACAAGTTCAGAGCTGATCTGCACAGCTGGAAATGAAATGAGCTTGAGTGGACTTGTAATGGTTGCTGTGGGGAGACTTTTCCTTTCCTTATATGTGTTTTTTATTATTATCATTTTATTTCTTCACCATGTTGGCCAGTAAGAAGCATGTCTCGTGCCTTCCACGCTACTAATCATCACTGAAGCGTTTCTCTGGGATTGAGAAGTACCTGACTGACATAATCTGCTTTTCCTTGTTTCTGTCCACAGCCTCGGGAGAGAGGAAGGATGCGCTTCCACAGACTCCAGAATGTACAGATAGCCCTGGATTATTTAAAGAGGCGACAGGTAATAGTCTGACTTTATAGGATCACATAAGCCCATAGAAACATCTAGAACATGATCCACAGCAGGCACATGATCTAGCAGTTTGTGTGTGCAGCTGGACTGTGTTTGGGGATTTGCATCACATGGGATCACCAGCAAAATGCTTACTCAGAACCAGTGTAGCAACAAATCCACGTCACTGAGCAACGGCAGCAGCTCGCCTAATTAGCTGTGACTTGATGCTTTTCAGCATCCTTGAAGAGATTCATTTTCATTTTCTGGTTTTCCTGATAAAAACCTGAAAGTAGTAAATTCACATTCAAGGCGGGCTGACTACAAATCCCATCAGTGGGATTTTACAGCACTCTGATTGTCGTCCCCTCCCCCACTACACGCTGAGGATGCTGAGAGGAACACAGCCCGGTTCACCCGCAGCCAGATGTGACGTTATGCCGGAGACAAAGGGTTCATACACACCCGCTGACGAGTTGGCGGATCAGATATCCGAAACATCCATACCTCTTACACTTTTGTTAAACATCAAGCAATTTTTTAAAAAGCTGCTTTAAATCACTCCATGCAGCTGATTGATTCTAGCATTACGCATGATCAGGCTATAATAAACCATAACTGTGTTATAATTCTTATTTCTCCTTCATGCTTTATTTGAGTAAATATCCATCAGTGTGCTGAAATCTTGAGTCTGGAATGTGGTGAAATTATTTAAAGTATTTTTTAATTCTCAACAGTTAATTTCCCATACAACTCAGCCTTCCCCAAACAATACAATGGGATGATAGCGCCATCTTGTGGTGTTTGTTAAGCATCATGACTCATGACTCAGCTGAATCTACACAGTTACAATCACTTAGTGATGATTATAAAAATACACATTTTTATGCCATAAATGATCAGAGGCTGTATTCGAAGTGGTAAACAATGCTATTTTGAACAAAATGTTTTCATCTCCAGGTCAAACTTGTAAATATCAGGAATGATGACATCACAGACGGCAACCCAAAACTGACGTTGGGGTTGATTTGGACCATAATTTTGCACTTTCAGGTCAGTTTTTTCCTATTTTTTCCATTTTTTGGGCTTTATTACAGCTGATTTAAATTTAGTATTCATGTGCAACCCATTCTATAACTGGTTGTATACACATTATATATCAGCTTTTAAAACGTGGATTATTTTACACAAATTCCCTTTCTTTAGACACGTTTTAGTGTCTCATTGTTGCTTTTAAAATAAACATTTCTGCTTTTGACCACATGATGTCAAAGCTGTGCCAAAAACAGAACGTTGGAAAGAGTATGAAATGTGTTTTTTAATTTAAATGTGGCTGAGAAGTGTGTTATTATCCTGAAAACAGCTTTGTTATTCGTTTACTTTAGGGACTTTATGAAATTCAGACACAGAAAAAAAAGTTGTTTTATATAATATGTTGAATTTTCTGAAGAAAAAGTAATTTCTTGTGCACAAATGGTTGTAATTGGAGTTTTAAAAAGGAATATTTACTTTGTGAAGCAAGACAACTCTTGTCATGATTTGGCGCTTCATAAATAAACAGGACTGAACTGAATTAATATTTTGCTGAGCTGGTTTTCAGAATGCTGTTTTACTTTTCTCCCTCTGGGAGTTTTTATCATTTTTACACAAATCAGGTCAAGTCAGTCAGCCCGTGTGTGCATATGTACCTCCAGGTGTCTGCTGAGGTATTTAAGCACCTGTCTACATACATATATAGGTATACTTGAATGATTTTAAGGGATTCATTCACCCTCTCTTTCCCTGACAGTTTCCTGTAAGTTTTCATATTTTAACCACATTCCAGTTGTGAATCGGGAGAAAATGGCAATTATTGATCTTTCTTTAAGACTTTCAGTTTGTAAATGATGGTAGTGACTTGTTTAAGAAAGATCCTGCAAGCTACTGTAAATACAGTCAATATCATTTAGCCTGGACTGAAACATGCTGACAGGTAGCGTCCGTGATGATGCCAACACCTGCCACTGTCAGTCTCACGCAAGCCCCTGAGCGTGTGGTCGAGCAGCACGGGGGCCTGTTTCTTCTTGCTCTGCAGGGGCACTGGGGCACTTTAGGAGAAAGCCCTCAGCCTCGTTCTCTTTGAGCTTTATTAAAGAAGCACAGCTGACAGAAAGCTGACATGTAATAACAGAAGGCTATTTTTCTTTACTGGTTTTTATTGGACGACAGAAATTTCCAAGATTAGTTCCACAGGGGGTTGTCTTGGGGACGTGATGTTCAGGCTCTCCCTTGCAGCTGCAGGCCCAAATATTTGGCTTTATCTTTAATTTTTTTAAAGGGGCAATATCATGGAAACCCACTATTTGATGTTATTTCCTCAATTTTGGCTGCATTTATGCACATTTTGAGTTTTACTTTGAAAATCTTGTTAAGTGTCAATGGAAACTTGTCTTGCCATCAGGCCCTGCTTATCTCCCTGGAGCTAGTCTCTGGTCAGAAACCTGCCCCCCCCCCCCCCCCCCGGCCAACTCAAAATATGTGGCTTAGGCGACTTGTGTAATGTGGTAGACTCGGTAGTCCAGTGGTTAGAGTGCTATGGCTGGCATGCAGTTTTGCGCAGGTTCACGTCTGAGCAGTAACTTTATTTTTTTGCTGCACTTGCCAGTATTATGTTTTTAACCCTTTATTGGTAATCCGTTTAAAAAGTAAGGACAAATCTGTTGGGGTTTTTTTTCATTCTTTGATTATTTAGCCAGTGTGAGTCCATGTGAGGTGAGCAGAGTAAATCAGCTAAAAGGCTGCTTGGGAATGACCAGATTCAAAGATAAGAGACATAAACTAGTTGGCAGAAAAAAAATCAATAAAACTAAAATATAAAAACATGAAATCTACTTTAACTGGCTAGGTAAATTACCGCCGACACCACCAGGATTTGAACCTATGTCCGCACATGGCAAAACTTAGACAGCAAGCAGTCACCTTAACTGCTGGACTACCATAGCCTACACAACAGCTGACTCACCTAAGATGCTGTTTACACAAACAAAGTATTCAACATTGCATACAAATACTGTCCCTACGTTTGCTCTGAAAGGTTTAAAATAGCATGATGTGGAACCTTTTAAAAATGCATCCTTTTTATTTGTCATCACCATCATCCTTTTCTTACTCCCGTGAAGTTTATTTGTGCATGAAACCACCGAGATTCCTGACTCTTTCAGCCTGACTGTAGTTTTTGCTTTGCATCTGAGCTGAGCTTACCACATCTTTGTCTGGACATTTGTTTTGTTCTTACCTTCTTCACATAAACACATGTTTATCAGTCATTCACTGGTAATAAAGCTCATCCAGAAATAATGAAAGAAACTGGGGCAGCAGGTCAAGCTGGATATTTCCAACCAAGCCATTTTACTGATGTGAGCACTGAGATAACCTAATAATGCAATCCGATATTTATTTTACAGTCAGCTCTATTAACGGGAGGAGTTGTAGTTTGACCTGGTTTTTTTTTAATCTCTGGATAAATAATTATATCTTACAGAGACATGGATGTTAGTTCTGCTGGGTCATGGCATCACATTTGTTCCCTGTCTTCCCAGAGCTGACCACGCCTCTGATTATTCCATTGTATGTAGCTTTAATACTCGACAAAGTGATGTCATGCTGCTGGGATTTGCCTCAGTGTCTGTGCAGCTCTGATTTCCTGAGACTCTCATTGGCCTTTCAAGATAAAGTTGCTGATTCAGAGTTTGTCATAACATGATAGGTGTAGCTAGCTGGCAGCCACTTGTATTTCAACGTTTTGTCACACACATTTAGTTTTTGTCACACCGTGCGGTGTGTCAGAATAGGAAAATGTTATTTGTGTGCTGTCTTTTGAAAATGCAGACTAGCCAGACTTAAACGGGTTTGTCTTCCAGTCTTTTCCATTCCTGCCCAGCTGAGAGCCTCAAGCACTCTGGCTATGTCGGTGTGTGCATTTATGGTATTTGCGCTGGATTAGCAAAGCTGTGGAAATGTTTCAAAGGTCAGAAAACATTCTAGAGAAAGAGGAGTGCAAGAGAGAAGTGCAGCGTGAGAAACGCTGACCGCTTCTCAACAGGGAGTCTAGCAGATGAAGTTCTGACTGTGAGGAGCTTTATGTCTCGCTGCCACTCAGCTGCAGCATTATGTTGTATTTGAACAGTGTTAT